CCAACTGAATTTCTTAGACAATAATGACAAGGAAAGTCTGAACATTTTCAGTAGATCAGTGCAAAGTGATCACTCATTGTGTTTTAATTGGTATTTCCTTAATGGTTCTGAGCATCCTTTCAGTTGGCCATTTGGATATCCCCTTTTAGGAATGTTGAGTCAAGTCCTTTGCATACTTTAGTTGAGCTGTTTCTTTTGTCATTATTGTGGTGGCTATTCTTTATATGTATGCAGAATAATGATCCCTAACACATATGAATGCATTGTCAGATTTGAACATACTTCCACCCATCCTAGGGTTAAAGTATTTTCTGTTGTTCAATTGACTGTGCCCTCTGAGACACAGAAAATTTAACTTTGAGATACTTTAATGCATTTTTCTCTCTTTACCAAGACTATTAGTGCCAAAATCCCTTTATAAGTTTATATTTCAGGTATACAGTTAAAATCAGAATCATTAAAGCAAATTTAAAAAATGAATAATGTAATATTATAACATTCTTTTTTAGTGATCCAACACATTTTATGTGTCCAGACACTCCAAACATTAGCAATGCTCAGAGACAGAAAATCTTCTCATGAACAACAAGCGTAATAATGAAATGGCAGAACTTTGTGAATTCGGGGCCTGAACTCAGTATATCTCTAGACTAGAGTTTATTATGTTTGCCAAAGTACCTAAAGAATAGGATCTGAGCAAGGTCGTTGCATATTTTGAGCAAGCACATTTGATGAGCAAGAAGAAAAAAGATATTCTGCTTCCTAAAATGGAGGCTGCTCACTCAGAAGAAGGTCACATGCCAAGCACTTTTTCCGTGTCTTCTTGCCACGAACGTCTCAGGACATCTGCTCTGCTCACGTCACCTAGATTAGAAACTGGGGCTCAAAGATGCAGTCATATTTGTAGGAACATGGCCTTATATAATCCTATATAATAAAAAGAATAAATGAGAGCTTGAAAAATGATGAGGTCATAGGTGTGCCCATCACCTTTCCATCACGGTACCAAATACCTTAGATGAATCAACTCCAATAGAAGAAAGGCCATTTCAGCTCACATTTTTGGAGGTTTTAATCCGTGATCAATTGGCCTGTTGCTTTGGGTTCTTTGGTGAGTTAATACATTGTCAAAGGAGCACATGGTAGGACAACTGCTCACGTCATGGCAGCCAGGAAGGGAAGAGTTGACATAAAGAGGTATGATTCTAATATTCCCTTTAGGACACACCCCCAGTGACGTAACTACCTCCTCTGAGATGCTGCCTTTAAAGGCATCCACATTTCCCAACAGTGTCTCTGGCAGTTTTCCAAGCTTTGAATGCGGGGGCCATTAGGGACCATTTTTCTGAACCATAGTGAAATGCAAATGATGAACTGTGACTTTGGTCAAATCCGTTTGCCTGGAGCTTCCATCCATACTGTCTGCCTTTCACACACAGCCTAGAGAGAAAGTATTGCGGGCAGCACTGTGGCAACATAAAGTGGATTCAAGAGAAGGCGACAGGTTTCCTAAATCGACCACTAACTCTTCATAGATCATCTGGGGTCCATGGCCGCAAAAATTCCAAAGGGTGCCCCGCAGGACTGTGAGTAACTATTCCTGGGCAGCTCTGCTATAAGACACCAGGAAGAGAAGCTGCCGGGCACAAAACTGAACTATGTCTGTTTATTCAACAGCTTGTGCATGAACGCCAGAAGCCACTGGGATCCTGCGATGGTGGCTGCAGTTTAGTCCTGCCTGTCACACATAGGATAGGCAGCCTGGCAGCCAAGTGGCACTGAGTAACCACCAGAAAAATAAAAAAAGATCTCTGGACGGCTGATCCACCCATGCGGATCATGACACGAGACGTAAAGTTTTTGCGCATGTCAAAGTGAGTAGCCTATCTTAAGCACCTATTAAGATCTGTCAAACATGGCCCTGCGTTTTTAACTAAGTGCCTGGCCAGTCTGGATGCAAGCACATGCTATTTTCATCTTCATTTACTCCCACTTGCAACATGATGAAACTTCACAATAAAATTCCACGTGAACTTATTTACCCAAACAAGTGACTGAAACGCGTGTCGAGAGATTCCTCTTCCCTTTGTTCACTCCTGGTTTTTTAGGAGATACTCTTCTTCTCCTGACCCACACAGCTCTCTCTCCAGCTGCTCATGTAGCTACCACTAGAATTTAGAATGTAGAAGTGAGTAGTCCCTTAGTTGTCAAATATCTATAGTGATTTTCTTTTCTTTTGCTCAAACACTTTGGCTAACATTGGATGTAATTTATTGTATGGAGCATTCCTCTTAATTTTTAATCCCATGTGCATTTCAAGGAAAATGTAATCCATCTGGTTCTGATTCCCTGACTCCTAACTCATCAAAGTGGTACTTTGTAATTGATGCTTGATGTCCAAAATGCCTGCTGGGTGTTCAGGGCTCCATAAAGCTTCCCCTGCCTGCCACTCATTCTCTGCAGCCCCAGCCATAGCCAAGATGACACATTTTACTTATCTGGCACAGTTATGAAAGACCAGAAACATGTACTTGACTAAATATCAATACTCCCAACCCAGAACAGTTATGATTCTGCAGTATGGTATGTGCAAGGCCCTGTATGGTTAATTTCTGCGGCTGTGTGAACCCCCAAAGGCCCAGCTGCTCCTGAGTAGAGTTTACCCCTTGCATGGGGTCTGTACCCACAATGGATGTTTCTAGGCATTAGATGCGTGTTCTGAAACTTCTTTCATCTACCTCTCCACACATGGCACTGTACCCTTCCCCACGCTGTGGCACACACAGAATAAGTGGGCACAAAGCTTTCCTGTCATGGTTGTCTATAGTAACTTTAGTGAAGTTCTTAACTCAGTCAAGTCCTGCCGTCTCAGGCAGACTACCCAATGCCTGACTCTCTCTCATGACAAGAAAATTCAGTCTGCCATTCCAAAAAAGGGCGAAGTTTGTAGCACTGGGGGTGTTCTTAAAGACCATGTGATCTTGAAAAGATTAACAGTTTGCACACATGCGGATAGTAGGTTATTCATCTTCTGTCTAGATCACACTTCTTTTAAATGTTTGGTGATGTGTGATCATGGTCTTAGATGGCTTTTCCACTGGTTAGTTACCTGATAAATTCTACTGACCACCTACATCATGACAGGCACTGCTCAGCCAGCCCAAAGGCTTTTGGAGCAGAAGTCTGGTCTTGCCAATGCTGCTAAGCATTTCCTCCCTAACAATTGGCTGACAGAGACACCAGACCTTGCTGAACACCTTTGTTCGTGTACCAGTAGCAAAGCAGAGAGAGGGAAGGGATTGTACTCATCATTTACAAGATCAACAATATTCTAAACTTTATTTCCAGTATTAATGACCAAATATACGAACATTTGTATAAATGCTGGTGCTTAAGTATCATAGTGCAGCGTTACATGTTAACTTTTACTGCATGGAAAGTTCTGCTGGGCTTCTGTCTTCTTAAATTAATCAAGGAATGTATGTATGTATGTATGTAAGTATTATGTATTACATGTATGTCCTGGGGCAGGGTTGCCATAACATTCATGTGGACGTAAGAAGACAATTTGCAAGAATGTGGTTTTCTCCTTCCACCATCTGGGTTCTGACTATGGAACTCAGGTCCTCAGGCATACACATGTCTGAGGTGGGTTTCCCCTCTGTATGCTGTGAATACCACTGGTGAATAAAGAAACTGCTTAGACCTGTTGATAGGGCAGGGTAGAGCTAGGCGAGGCAAAGTAAACTGAATGCTGGGAGAAAGGAAGCAGAGTCAAATAGAATCCATGGAGCTGCTGCCAGAGACAGACACACCAGAATTTTGCTGGTAGGCCACGAGCCTCATGGGAAAATATGAAATACTGAAAATGGGCTAATACTAGACGTAAGAGCTACTAGCAATACATTTAAGTGACTGGCCAAGCAGTCATTTAAATACTATAGTTTCCGGGTGTTATTTCGGGAGTCTGGGCGGCCGGGAAAACAAACAAGCAGCTTCCTACAACACATGTCTGTACCAGATGAGCCTTCTTGACAGCCATGCTTCTATGTCTTAATGTGAAGATTAAATTCTTAGGCCTCAGAAGACAATAATTACTCATTCTCACAACTCTGGCTGTGTATTAACACATTGTGTTTTTACTAGTGTAAGGCCTCAGGAAGTACCCCTGTTTAGAACTGTCTTTTCCTGGCAACTCCATTTCCCTTAACAACTGCATTTGCCCAGCGTATCAGTAATAAAAGTTTCCAAGAATCATTTTCCAGTGAGGTCATATGAATGTTTCAAGGTCTCTAGTAGGAATCACATTGGGTAAAGAATGAACCTAGCCCACAACAGACAGACTGAAAGCTTATCTCGCCAGGCCTGGGTTCCCTAGGGAGAGGGAGGGGAGGCCCCTGTTGCCTTCCTTTCCTTCTTTACCATACTAAGTGCATGCAGTTAGTCACTGTACAAGGTAGTGTGTGGCAATGTAAGTATCTGTGCTTGTGTTTGGTTTCCAGGTATAAGGCAGCCAGGCAGTAGCCCTATGGGAGCCCAAAGTCGGCACTAAATTTTATTCTCCTCGCCCAGCAGTACACACGCCTCTTAATCTGGCTTCCTGCAGAAGGACTCTGCTGGCACTGCTCGGCTTGAAGCTGGGGCCAGCCTTTCTCTGAAATCCCTTCCCGTGAATTACAACTTGCAGCATGGGGACTGAATAGAAAAGAGCCTTCTAAAATTCAACTGGAAGGGCTGACCGGAATTCAGCTGAATGCGGAGAATGGCAGGAAGGCCTTTATTATTCTGCCTCATTCTATCTGCTGTGTGGCAGCGCGGCGCCTGGAGTCTGGCGGAGCTGAACTCATTTCCCTGGATTTCCGAGTCACAGCCACAATGCCTACCGAAGCCAAGCACTTCACTCCAGAGACTCGCTACACTTCCTGCTATAGGATGCACTTGCCTGTCTCTTGGTGACCTTAAACACTAATAAAGGAGTCATAACATGACCTAGACAAGACCTGGGAGCTGATCAGAATGTCCGTGATTGATGGCAGCGCTCTCAGCTATCTGCCGCTTGCCCTGACACTCCAGCCGAGTTGTTTGGATTATGATTATGTGGATAAGAGGCCTGAAACACACGGCCGGCGTGGCTTTCCGCATTGTTGAAGGCTATCACGAGGTGTGGCCGAAAGAAAAAGAAAACTAGGTTACGGACTGAAATTGTACCAACACCAGCACCGTTTAGTTTCTATATGAGCTTTCCCTGGCATTCTGGAGCCGTGGCATTTCACCTCTGCCAATGTTTTAAGATATTAATGATCTTTTACCCTGGCCATGGAAGGAAAGGGGCAGTTTCTCTTGTTTGTGTGGCTGCCTGATGGTATCTGCTTGCCATTCCTTAAACGTTGTCAGCACTGTTTGTTTCTTCAGTCGCCGGACCTTCCTAGTATTCTTCGTTTTGGGGCTTTTGTGTGTTTCTCCTAAATGAGCTAAGTGTTGGTCTGCTGCATAATGGAGATGTACGACTTACATGTCTGATCAAATTATTGACGAATGCTAGATTTATTAGACTCAAATCTTTTATTTTCTGATTGTCACATTTCATTGTCTTACAACTCAAATTCCATTTATTTTGGAGGGGGTGGATTTTCATTTATGTACTTAATACATTTAGATTCAAAAGTTCAGTCTCTAGGAAGCTGGACAAAACGGTGGGCTACCCAAATGTTAGCTGCCTTTTTGCTTTTGGGAAGCATCCACTTACCAGCGTGCAGGAGTTCTTGTGCTGTGCAACACACCCTGGAGACTTCAGTCTTTCATTCTTGGGTAGAATGACGAGGTGACCAGCCATGGCCACACTGCAGGAAGTAACGTAAGTGCTGTCCTGTGCAGGTATCAAAATAGATAGAAACGGGATCCCACAATTGCAGCTCCCAACGTGAAGGTTATGTCGCACACATCTCTTGATTGTTGACTTCAGCTGTTTGCAAATGACTTATTGAGTCCCATAAACCTTTTTATAGCTTTAATATCTTGGGTTAACAAGTTCTCAATTGCCATATAGACTGGATGTAAAGTGTACCTCTTGTTCTTCTTTTCCTCTTTTTCTTTTCATGTTTCAACGGACAGTTCGATTTTGTGATTTTTAAAATGATTTGTTTTATTATTTTTAAATGGTTTGTTTTATTTATTATTCAATTGTATGTGTGTGTTGCACATTTGTTCATCAATGCAGGTTCATAAGAGGCCATAAGAGGGTGGAGCTTGAGCAACTGACAATTGTGAGTCATAAATTAGGAGCTGAAGACCACTGGACACTGGGAACTGTTGAGTCGTGTTCTGCCACTCCTCGATTTGGAGATATTTATGAAAGCTTTTAAGGCTTCTCATTGATATTTTACACATACCTAATGTATTCTATACTCCCTCTAGGTTGTATCTCTAGGTTGCCAAGTTCGATATTATATCTGTTTCAAAGAACCAGATCAAACTATGTTTTTGAGTGCCAGAATGAACTGAGCACTGTACTAAATTTTTTCTCACATCTTAATAATACACAATACAGTATAAGTTTGCTGTATCCATGAGCTGTTGCAATACAAGTTTCCTAACTTTTACATGCATCCTACAAAGAGTTTTTCATTTACCAAGAATAAGCCTTACAGATCTAAATTGCCATCCTTGCTACCCAGATGATAACACTAAGGTTTGGAAATTTTTAAGCATCTTGATCCAAGCCAATGACCAATAACTAAGATTCATACCCTATATATCATTCCCCATGTCTTTTAAAGGTATTATATAAATTTACAGAAAATGGATTCTACTGGACCTTGGCTTCATCTGAATAACTTAGAGCAGTATATTTTCTAACCCATTGAAAAGACTGAATTTTTGATATGTTTTGGTTTGGGATAAGGTCTGTTTTTGTTTTAGTGTGGGGTAGATTCTGTATGTAGCTGAGACTAACCTTGGACTTTTTATCTTCCTTCTGTTTTCTAAATGCTAGGATTGTAAGAGTGCACCACCTCTTCCAGCTGAGTTAAGTTTTTAAAGCAAATTTGTGAGGTAGTCTACCTATAATAGTTTCACAAATACAGAGAAACTAACCTGACAGAGTCTTTGATTCGAACACAGAATCTGAGCTAGTCATTCTTGACCACATACCCCCCCCCAAAAAAATTCTGTTTCTTTCAAATTCTGAAGTCCCCAGTGGGTAGAATCTACCAGCACCAATTATATCACAGAGACTCTTAAATTCCCTTCTTGCATGTCATTCAATATTGTCCTGCCTGGGAAACGCCACACTATAATTTACAACTCTATTTCTCGGTTACACAAACAATGTCTAGGCTGTTGTTTGTTTGATTTTATTGCTTTTATATTTTATTTTGTTAATCTGTTTTTTCAACTTATTTGCACTTTGAGATTAAAATTTTATAAAGCATAGCTTGGCTTTCTTCTGGAATTAGGTAACACAGCTTTCCTCACTTAATCTCAAACCTGGGTTATTTTAGTTGATGTTTGTACTTTATGAGTGGGATGTTTTGCCTGCATGTATGGCTAGGAACCATGCACCTGCAGTACCCTCAGGGGCCAGAAGAGAGCGCTGGATTCCGCTGAGAATGGGGTTCCAGATGGCTGTGATCTGGGTGCTGAGAATTGAACTCAGTTTCTCTGGAAGGGCAGTGTGTGCTCCTAACTGATGGGCCATGGCTCTAGTCCCCTGGGTATGGTGTGCTTTGATCTGCTGCTCCATCTTAGAGGTATCTGCATGCTTTCTCTGTTTGCTGGTTTAGAAACCTTCATTTGTCTCAACAAACAGAGCAAACACAAACTTTGCCCAACAAAAGTGACAGCTGTAGAATAAAACATCCTGACAAGAGGCCAGCGATTCCACACCACTCTGTTCCTCGCCAGTCTCCGGATGCAGGTGCCCAAAGGTTCCTACAGAGATAAATTACCTGCAAAGCTCATGCCGCTCACTTTTCAGATGAACAACCTCCTGACATAAATTTGATTTCACTTACGAGTGAGAAAAATGGGCTTGATGAAGTTTCTTTATTCATTAACCAATAAAAGCAAAACAGAGACAGAAGGACCTTGCACACCAATAAATAACTTATATCTGTGACATTCTGATGATGCTCTGAGGTGTCCTGTAAGCTTCTGAGGTGGAGGAAATCTTCAAAAGGTTGAGATAGAGGAGGTTGAAAGGTTTCTGTGCTGCATCCAGGTACTAAATCTAGCTATGTTGAGAAGTTTCTCTTTCCATTCACTTACACATCAGACTTTGTGTGGGCTTCACTTGAAGAAAGGTCCATGTGGTACTTGAAATATGATTAATAATAATTGATTGTTGCAGGAGCTCCTTCCGTTCCTTCAGCCAATAGCCGCAGGGGCTGGAGAGATGGCTCAGTGGTTAAGAGCACTGACTGCTCTTCCAGAGGTCCTGAGTTCAATTCCCAGCAACCTGAGTTCAATCTCACAGCCATCTATAAGGAGATATGGCGCCCAATGTGGGGACCCAATGGGCTGGTATCTCTGCGGCTATTGGCTGAAGGAGCAGAAGGAGCTCCCGCAGCAATTAATAATGAAAAAGGACTTCAGCTGAGCAGTGGTGGCACATGCCTTTAATCCCAGTGCTTGGGAAGTAGAGGCTGGTAGATCTCTGTGAGTTCGAGGCCAGCCTGGTCTACCAAGGAGTTCCAGATCAGCCAAGGCTACACAAAGAAACTCTATCTCAAAAAGCAAAACAAATCAATTCAAAGTCATAGATATTATAAATGAGGAAATGTAACTTCAGAGAGAATAAATGACTTGTTCAGGGCAACATACTCAGCAAGACATTGTCTGAATTAATGTTCCCTAAGATCTAAAAGCCTGTAGTCAACAATATGGACCAAAGGCCTACTAACTACAAGACGGCTGCCTCCAGGGAGTGCTGAAATGTGGCACAGCAAGCGAGTAAGAATGCTATGCGGGGACTGAAGCTCACCGGCCCATCTCATCTGCTCTTTTGAGATTTTAGCAGCTTCCTCAAAGTTAGCTTCAGATGACAGAATCAGGACATCCTTTTATCCCACTTTTTTTTTTTCTCACTCAACACTGTTTCAGTGTGCCCTAAAAATCTGCAACACGAAGCATAGTTTCTCAGTATCATTTGTCGGTTGAAAACTTCAGCTGGACATTTGTGTTCTTAAAAGTTTGAAGTCCCCCAGCCAAGCAATGTGGATGGGCAGCAACTCTACACATCATCACCAGGGATGCTGTTCATGTTGTGTATACTTAACCACCCAAGGAACTGGGCTTGAAAAACTTGCCAGGATGCCTCTCTTCCTTTAAAGAGTCCTAGGGTCAGGACTGAAATCTAGGAGTGCTGTCAGTTAAAGACATTTCTATGTTCTCCATACGGTTGTGGCTTAGAAATGTGATTTCAACATCTTAGGCTAGATGTTTTGCTTGAATTCCTAGAGAGCAATTCGTGCACGCATAATAAATAAGAATGAGTTAACGCACAATATACAAATATTAATTATGTGTTATTATACGTTAAAAACAGTTAATGCCTGTCCAATATTTGCCATGAAGTTTACAATGCATGCTTATATTCTTTTTTAAAAGATTTTTTAAAAAGTTTGTGTGTGTACATATGTACAAATGTTTGTGAAGACCAGAAGAGGACATCAGATCTCATAGAGCTGGAGTTACAGTGGTTGGGAGCTGTCTACTGTAGATGCTGGAAACCAAACCCTGATCCTCTGAAAGAGCAGCAAGTGCTCTTAACTGCTCAGCTATTTCTCCAATTTCACTCTTCCTAAATACAACACATAAATTAGAGTTCATTAGAAGTGTTGAATAATTTTGATAGAACAAAGGCAAGTGAATAACTTTGTGGCCAAATTTTAAAAGCTAGGTTTATTTAATTATTAATATTTCATGTGCACACATGTGAGTGTGTTCATGTGTGGACTGTATGTGTGTGTGTGGGGGGGTGTCAGTGTCACCATAGCATGTGTGTGGATGCCAAGGGGAGGATTTCATTGCTCCTTTCAGTATATATCTGGATCGTGGGGAATCAGACTCAGTCCTGAGGTTGATTGATAAGTACCTTTGCTCACTGAACACTATCGCCCATTAATTGTTTTTATACAGAAGGA